TGAAGATCACCACAAGATGCGCAAATTTTTCAATTCCACTCAAACTTTTTATGGGCCAATCACTCGTAGCAGAGCCCCCCTCTTCTTATCCGATGGTAAATCCATAATTAAAGATGATGAAGGCCTCCTTCAGTGCTGGAAAGAGCACTACCAATCACTGCTCAACCGAAACATTGATGTGGATGTCCTGACTACCCAGCAGGTCCCTTAGCATCCAGAGCTGACCCACCTCAGCTATCTCCATCCCTGGATGAGGTAGCTATTGCCATCAAACATGTCGGCAGCTTCCATTACTGAACTTCAGTAAGCAGACGATCTCACCCTTATTGCTCACACTGAAAGCGACCTAGAGGAGATCCTGAACACTTATGCAGATGCGTAGGCACACTTCGGTACTACCCTCTCTAATGTTACCAACTTTCGGTATCTCGGCTCCCACCTGTCCACCACTGCGGACATCGATGAATAGAATCAGCATCTGATCAAATGTGCATCCCAAGCCTTTGGCAGACTCCAAAACCTTGTTTTCAGCTGTAAGGAGCTGATTATTTACAAAGTTACATGTATATCGAGCAGTGGTCCTCCCCACCCTGCTTGTTATATGGAAATGAGACATGGGTTACATACAAGAGGCACATCAAGGCACTTGAAAACTTTCAACAACGTAGTCTACGCTCCATCCCCCGAGTTCGCTGGGAACACAAGAGAACAAATGCCAATATTCTTGCTGACACCAACTGTAGGAGCATCCAGGCTTCCATTATCCATGAACAACTATGCTGGACTGGTCATGTTACCCGCATGGACGACAGTAGACTGCCAAAGCTGCTACTTTACAGTCACCTAACGAATAGTAAATGTATCGCCGGCGGGCAATGAAAAGGTATAAGGATAGTCTTAAGACAAACCTGAAAAAGTGGCAAATCTACCCCCCCTCACCTGGGAGACGATTACTCCAGATCGTAACGCTAGGAGGAGCACCACACAGGAAGGTGCCAATACTTTAAAGTTAGCTCAACTACAAACCGAGGCAGAGAAGCGCCAACGCCGGAAAGACGCTGCCACCGCCTCTCCCGCACTCGATGCAGCCCGCCACATGTGCAACATCTCTGAACGACTTTGCCGGTCCCGTATCGGCCTCTTTAGTCACCTCAAAACTCACCAATGAAGGTTACATCCCTAATAACTCGTATCATTGCATCATAGCTGGATGATCAGCACACTCGATTCCGAATGTAGCCTGTGTCTGCCAATACTTTGTGTGTGTGTGTGTGTGTGGTATGTAATGTATGTTATGTGTAGCCTGCGTCTGTAAATATCGTGTGTTCCTTGAATTAGGTTTTGTGTTAGTAGCTTGTACAGTATGTTGTTTGTGTTAATCTGAGAGCCAAGACGCATGAAAATATCCCGCAGGGATATGAGGTGTATAGTTGCTCAGGGGTCTGTCTGTTTTGTAATAATGCCATGTTTTTTGTTAACTAAAAATGTATAAAATTCAGTTAGAGAAAGCAGTACGTGTCAAAACTGTCCACAGTCAGTTAGAGTCATGGGTAGGCCTACGCTGTTACAAGTCGCAGTAGGCCTCTGACATGACCCCATGGGCACTTTGTGTTGATTGGTTGAGACCTTAGTGTTCTATGCAAAGCAAAAATGCGTCTGATTTAAACTACTCACTTTGATTTGCTTTGTGAGGTGCCTTCATGATGTGTAGAGAAAGATGACTTAAATCTCTTCAAACACTTCCCGTCTATTCCTGCGATCTGTGCAATGTAATGAATTAACGAGTAGGGTAATAATCGATGATTGACCCGCCGCCGATTTTTCATTGAAAACGATTTAAAAAAACAAAAACAATTTCACTGTTTTTTATAGTGAACACCGTCGTAGTTTGGGCAATTGTGTTAAAAAAGGTTATTTCTAAATTAAACCTAACCTAACCCTAGTTGATAAGAAAAACAAGCAGCCATGGGGTTCCGTCCCCCGGACTCCCCAGCATATTAAATGGAAAGAACTTACTGTGATATGGTGTAATTTTACGGGGGTTTTGTGGATGTGAGAGCAGCCAGCCGGAAAGAGCGGCTCTTCTATGTACACTGGCGTCGATTGGAGCGTGGCAGAGAGAACTCGGAGTGTCTTGAAAATACTGTATGTCACTATGATTGACTGTTTACATCCAGGGATGTGGCATCACCGCCAGACATGGGGTAATCGTAAACTGTAATTGTAATCGATTACAATCAATTACAGTTTTTGAAGAAATCGTAATCGATTATATTTTTATTTTTGGCAAAGTAATCGTAATCGTAGTCGATTACATTCAAAATGTAATCATAATCACGATTACTTTAACGATTGCAATAGTAAGTACATAACAGTACTTCATATCCTTTTCTTACAAAACTGAGCTCAAACATTTACCATCTATATTATGCCTGTAATATTCTCGCGGCTAGTAACAAAATATCGAGTCAGTAAGATTTAAACAATCGTGCTGGTAACCACTGATTAACGTCTAAGCAAACACAGACCGTACTAGCATGCAGACTTAGGTAAATCATTTTATTAATTAAGTGATGGTTCAGCAACGTTGCAGTGTGAATTTGTTTAGTCTTATGAGATTAAACCAGACTGTAAAAGTTTAAACTACACACAAATTGGACGTGTCAACCGTCTGACGGTGATCCACACAAACGAAGAGGATGCCATACACCATCCTTATGATATTTTTTTTTTTGTAAACTGAATTCGTAATATATCAGAAACACAGATCCTGCCTTCCAGAAAACACAGATCCTTTTAAATTCTGGGAACGAAACAAAGCATCCATGCCTGTCCTCTCCAAGCTCGCAATGAATTACCTTGTAGTACCAACAACTTCATTACCTGTTGAGAGAGTATTCAGTGTTGCTGGCCGAATCTTCAGGCCGGATAGGTGCCAGCTTATTGATAAAACATTCCAGAGTCTAGTTTTCAATAAGTTCAACACAAATAATAAGTTTTAATTTCCATATCCCTGTCCTGAGAAGGTGTAACCACTCAATATTGTCTTACTTTTATGAGTGTATAATATGCACTGTACGTTTTATTTGCTTAAATGAATAGCATTTGCGTGGTGATCCTGGTAACATTGTTTTCTTAAAATTACTAGAATGTATGAACCATGGGACTGGTGAGTCTAAATGGATCCAAACTACAGCTACACAAATGAAGATGTTTGGACTAAATCATCTGTACAAAGTTGAGACACAACAGCGCTTCCTGCCACCCTTCCAGACAGTTCCCTTCAATATCACAATACCGACATACCCGCCTAAACGATTAATTATGCAAAGTATTTATCTTCAGCACACTGCCAAAGTGAGAGCTCTTGAACACATACACACCGTACAGACTGATGATAATATCACACAGATCATATACACTGATGGATCTCTTAACAACGCCTATGGGAAGGCTAGAAGTACTTTCGTTGTGACTCAACCTATCGGTAATACAATTGAGAAAGGAGTTAGAATTAACAACTGGATATCCACTATACAAACTGAATTAGTTGCCATACTCACAGCCATTAAATTTATTGAAACCCCTGTCACTGACAGTCTCATCATCATTGATTCTCTATCCTCACTACTTGCCCTTGACACCCTCAGCGAAATAGATAAACATTGGTTTGGAAATAGAGTAGTGGATGAGTAGAACAAGTCACCAAACAATATCATTAATTTCGAACACGCTGGATAGCTTCAAATATAGTTTGGACGGATATATGAGCGATAGGGGTTGGGTGTAAATGGGACTGCCTAGTATAGGCCAAAAGGCCCACTGCAGTTTCCCCCATTCTTATGTTCTCAATATCTCTCAAGCAAATGTGAATAACAAAGTGTGCGGCCAGACATATTGTCTCACACTGCTGGACTCTTGCAGTTGCGAATAAGTCACCCTCTTTGAGTCTATGTGCAGAACTAAACAAAGAATGTATTTGGAATACTCTATAACATTCATTGCCATAATATCTTGACCACTGGGGTTAGTTATACACACCCTTTGTGACATCTACTCTGTAATCCTTTTCCGCTACCGCTCACAGGATGAGCATGGAGTACATAATAAATTAGCCGTTGTAAGTAGCAAAATTAAAAACTAGACATGTAAATTAATTAACTAAGAAAATATAGTAAGAGAAATAATGCAAATAATTAAGATAAAGAAAAAAATATATAGAAAAAAGAAATAGAGAATAACACAAAATAAACATAAATATATATAGAGATAAGTAAAACCCCTTTATATTACATTCGGCCTATCTGTCTCGGTTTGTCCTTCGAAATCAACCATCGAAGCACATACACATAAAAAAAAAAAAAAAAAATGATTGTCAAAAATTGAGAAAATTGAAAAAAATATATTGTAGTTCATTTTTCTGAAAAAAAAAAAACATTTTGGTCACTATAATCAACATACAGTATATGGTATATGGTGCGGTGGCTTAGTGCATACAGCGACCAATTCATCCTAAGGGGTGCTCCGTCGCCACTAGGACTTCTCCAGTCCACCCAACTGTAACTGGGTACATAACTTTCTGGTTGGGGACGTGAAGACATTCTAGTACAGTACTAACCACACTGCCTTCTTGTGTACCGGAAACTTAGTAGTATATAGATAGTATGCTGAATTTTCACTGTCCTTAATGGACCGTTCAGATATGTAACCCCCTTTCACATTTCAGTCATAGTATTGGAAACAAAAACAATATAGTCAGCCATGGTATCACAGCTTTCTTGTTGCCATTTCTCTGCTATGTCGTTAATATTATTTTTTTCATTAACTCTCGTTCGTCGTAATTTAGTAGTGACTATATCCTTCTCATTTGGTGTCTCTCTCCCTCTTTCTTGCCAGTTCACTATACTGTCACGTCATATTAAGTTTCAATAATGAAACAATGGCTGTGTGTGTGAATGACTGTACACCACCCATATCAGCACTGCCACCACCGTCACCATTACATTACTGTTTATAAATGACGTCAGTAAGCTGTGAACTCTGTCAGTGATAGGTCGTGGTGTACTGATCGCTTGGAACAGCAGCTTTACATCCTAACCAGTTAGTTCACAATTTGTCTCCTATATTATAATGCTAAATACATCTTATAATCCTGTGTAGACAGCCTGTTTCTCTAGTGCTGAGATATTCCGTTTTGGTAATTTCAACTCGGTGAGACATTAATATCGCCTCAGGTGTTAGCAATTTACTGTGGTAATCTTTTACTTCTTGACAAGGAGCCAGATTCACTTATGACTTTTTTCACCTTAAGTCCTTACAATCAAACCTAAGGCTGAACGGCTGACCGTAACCCAATTTATCGTACAGCAAAAATTAAGGTGGCCACCGAACACCCGTAAGCTTCCACAAGGCAGGAATAACTCCCGTTTTCTCTACTATACATACCGTACCAAGACACAGAACTAACAGACATAAAACTTCAAGTTTTACTAGTGAGAGTGAAGCTGTGAAGCTGTAACTAATTATTGCATTAACTCATGGCCGTGCACTCCGGAGAAAAAGGGGTGATTAAGGATCCTTTGGTCCCTATACAAATTGATGACCACCTACTGCTACGTATGGATTGATTCGTACTCTGGCTAGTTACGTTTATGTTAATAGCTTTGAGGTTCTTTACAAGTGGTAGTTTCCAGAGTGTAGTTGATGACGTTACTAGCTTAAGACAACTGTCAAGAATTATAAAGTGCATTTGCTCCAAAATAATAATAATAATAAGTATATTATTATTATTATTATTATTATTGTTGTTGTTGTTGTTGTTGTTGTTGTTGACTAAAATCTTATCAGAGAAATTAAGCCGCCTTTTATTTTAAACTATATTCTCTCCATTTTTCTCAAGGAATATTTAATGAGGAAGCTCAACTGGTACCTATTACCATTATTTTCAGAATGTTTAGAATATGTACACACTAACAATTCAAGTAACATACAACAATAAGGAGCTTACAAAAATGTTCACTAAAACACATAGGAAGTACATATTCGAGAACCTTGTTTGATTTACTGAACTGTACTGCCTATTCATCATATATCCGACTGTGACTGGGAATGTTAGTCTGTTATTATCTTTAATGTTTTATCCTTATCACGCTATAATATCAGGCACGAGTGTTGTTGTAATGCTATCACTGTGCTTAAACAACGAAGGTCTTTAAGCGTGTAACATGATTAGTAATAGAGTATACTAGTCCAATAATATTAAAAATTATGAGAGATAGAACTCTTTTGTTTTAAAGCACCAGAAGTAGTGATAGTTCGAGGCCCTGTACTTTTGTTGTTTACCTTCTTATTAGATATATCATCTATCTATATATATATATAAAACAAAGAAGTCTGTGTGTCCGCACGAGAATCTCGGAAACTACTTTACGGATCTGTAGTGATGATGGATGGTGTTATATGTAGTGATGATGGATGGTGTTATATATAGTGATGATGGATGGTGTTATATTTAGTGATGATGGATGGTGTTATATGTAATGATGATGGATGGTGTTATATGTAGTGATGATGGATGGTGTTATATGTAGTGATGATGGATGGTGTTATATGTAGTGATGATGGATGGTGTTATATGTAGTGATGATGGATGGTGTTATATGTAGTGATGATGGATGGTGTTATATGTAGTGATGATGGATGGTGTTATATGTAATGATGATGGATGGTGTTATATGTAGTGATGATGGGTGGTGTTATATGTAGTGATGATGGATGGTGTTATATGTAGTGATGATGGATGGTGTTATATGTAGTGATGATGGATGGTGTTATATGTAGTGATGATGATGGTGTATGTATGATGATGGATGATGTTATATGATGATGGATGTGTTATATGTAGTGATGATGGGTGGTGTTATATGTAGTGATGATGGATGGTGTTATATGTAGTGATGATGGATGGTGTTATATGTAATGATGATGGATGATGTTATATGCAGTGATGATGGATGGTGTTATATGTAGTGATGATGGATGTGTTATATGTAGTGATGATGGATGGTGTTATATGTAGTGATGATGGATGGTGTTATATGTAATGATGATGGATGATGTTATATGCATGATGATGGATGGTGTTATATGTAGTGATGATGGATGTGTTATATGTAGTGATGATGGATGGTGTTATATGTAGTGATGATGGATGGTGTTATATGTAGTGATGATGGATGGTGTTATATGTAATGATGATGGATGGTGTTATATGTAGTGATGATGGATGGTGTTATATGTAGTGATGCTGGATGGTGTTATATTTAGTGATGATGGATGGTGTTATATTTAGTGATGATGGATGGTGTTATATGTAATGATGATGGATGGTGTTATATGTAGTGATGATGGATGGTGTTATATGTAGTGATGATGGATGGTGTTATATGTAGTGATGATGGATGGTGTTATATGTAGTGATGATGGATGGCGTTATATGTAGTGATCTCAAAAAAACTCCAACCAACCCGATCCGACACAGCCCGTACACACACACACGTAGAAAAGTCGTATTCCCTCCTATGATTTACAGCTATTTTGATCCTTAGGTTTTCTTTCATTATGGCTTACTTTTCTCTGCATCTAACCTCCATCCGTTACACCACACAGAGGTTGAAAAGTCGTATCCCATCCCACGTATAATAGCTAATTTTATCATTATGCTCTCTCTCATTACAGCTTACTTTTCTTTGATCTCTAACTTTTCTAGGCTGTCCATTCTAACAAGGTAGGTAGGTAGGTAGGTAATCCATTCTAACGAGGTATGCCAAACGTACGATATTTCACACCGTGGCCTAGCGAAAGAGCCGCGTTTCTGTTAGTTTTTAAATAAGGGTTAGTGCTCATAACAGCACGATGACTGCTCATATAATATAAAAAAGGTATACAGTTTGTAGCTAGAAGGACATTCTCAAATTTCTCGTAAAGTCACATTTCGGGACCTCTTTCGTCTAATTAGTCCGATTTATCGATTCTTGACTTGATGTTTTTTTACTTAATTGCCTGTTAATACATTTTAGATGAATGACTCTCCTCGACTCACTACATTTCATTGGCAGAAGAGGAAATGAACTCTCTGGTGCCTTTAAATAAGTAGGGAACTGTCACGAATGTTTATCGGAGTCTTAAGGAGAGATAAAGATCAAGTGAATATAATAACTTGTGACTGCTATATTTTTTCAGTGAACGGCAAACACACGTCAGCACACAGTTTGGTGACGGAGGCTCATGTGAAGGCGGTGCTGAAAGCAGATAAGGGTAATGATATTCTTCTTACGTCATGGGCCATTGAAGATTTCACTGAGAAAGGAGACAACCTGGCTACTGTTGTTACGAGCGTCAAAGTTATGTTTTCACATAACGATAGCGTTCAGAGGATTTCCTACGTTGTATGTAATGTAGTTATCCATTGGTTAGTACAGATAGTTAACCTTTGTGTTAATGTTCAAAATATTTCTAACTACACCAAAGCTTTTGGAGCTGTTCTTTTTAAGTTTCAACCAAATGTAATAGTTCACATCATTCATTAGTTCACATCATGTGATATTTTATTTTTATTTACAAACCTGAAATACTTAAGAAAAACCATTCATGGAATGTAAGTGTCCCATTTTGCACATTGACCATGAAGGATAATTCTAGGTTGAACTAAACGCAAATGTTAACCAAAACATAATATAAGGAAAAATACGTTCCAATTACTTACTTTTGATGTGATGTTGCACGACTGTATGAGAAGTCATGTCATGCGTACGAACAGACGAACAGAAGGACGGAAAAACGAACAGTAATTACATTACATACCTTTGACAATCATGGCGGGGAAGAAATATTTGTATGCAGTGTGGGATGTTGGGTGATTAATGTGCATCACTGATTCACGTGATTTGTGAACTTTACTAGTGAACGTGCCATTTCATAGCATTTTAAAGTGTTTATTGATATTATGGCAGTATACATTCATATTCTGTTATATCTGTGTCTGGAGGTCAGAAAGTACATGGGAGTCAGAGGGTGTGTGGGAGTGAGAAAGGGTATAGAGGTTTTGGAAAGTGGTGAGCCAAGGGAGATGCGAGCAGGTCTATGGAATATAATTTATAATGGAAGAGTGTGCAGGTTTGTGCTATAACCTTGGTGGGTGGGGAGTTGTCTGCAGGGAGAAACCAGTAGGAGGACTGCATCAGGGACGTATGGTGTCGTCATGGCTGTTCAATACTTTCCCCAAAGAGGCAGTGAGGAAGGTCCAACCATCTTTTAAGATTTAAATAAAAAAAAAGTTAAATGAAGAGAAAGTCTTGATGTTTACTCTTGATTCCAACCACCCTGAATTATAATGGGAAAACGGAAACACACAAGCACGCATACTATGTGTGTGTGTGTGTGTGTGTGTGTGTGTGTGTGTGTGTGTGTGTGTAATTATTGTCAGAAAAAGCAAGGTGGGTGGCACTAATGGGAGATATAATAAGTGGGAGGTGGTGGCACCAGACTACTCAACCTCAACACACCCAGCAGGAAGGTCACAGCCACACACCACCGGTAGTACTGTATTACTTTTGACACATTCAGCCACACGTTAGACTTTACCATCAATTTATATTGTTATAATGTTCTATGGTTAGATATGTTATGAAACATAAGTGAAAGCCCGGTGTACAGACCACGGTCGTACACGTTAGTTCACGTAAGATCAAACCCTTCATATTACGCTCAATAGCACAGAAAAAAATGTAGCTTTAACTTCATTACTGAGTCCCCCATTGAGACGTTCGTTTTCTCACCACTTCAGTAAGCCTGAGTCTCCGGTTTTCTCTCAAGTAGTACCGAATCTTTAATATTTCTTCATATCTGATATTATGTTGGAGATTTGAACTTGCAACTGAATGCATATATATATTACATTAAGTTAAATAGGTCTACTTACAGATGAAACCTTCAAGATCTCCTGTGAGTGATGTTGAAAGCTTCAACTGTATAACTTTTAGTAAAATTGTCAAATAAGTTCAGTGTAGAATTTGCCAGTCGAAGTGACGCATCCTGACATTATCCTGGGGGACGCCCTGAATTTCCAATTGCTACTGAAGTTAGATCATTTTGATTCCCAATCATCAGTGAATCTGATGTTTGTATTGATATTATTGACAGTTTTATATTTTAGAAAGTAATTAATCTCCTGAAAGAACAAGTCAGTCTCTTATCGCACTAAAATCTAACGGCGAACTATCAGTAGGGCCTTGTTCAGTTTTTTGATGACGTTATGAGAATGACATTATTAACCTGTGTGTTTGTCATTAATTTCATTATTGCCTTGTATAAGGGGGGAACATTTTTTTTTATTTCACTTACTGATTAATGCATGTGTAAGAGGAGAGATTTTTTCTTTTATAATTTTGTTTCCTATTTATTTTTCTATTATAACAGAAAGTGTTATAAGTTATATAATAGTTATTATATAACTTATAACACTTTCTTTAATTTCCTTTTATCTTATTTTCTTTTCTTATGTACTAGCTAATTCTTTTCTAAGTTATTTCCTAGGTATTTCTTTCTAAGTGTTTATTTATTTATGGATTTCAATATTATTTATCTTTCTTTGCTCTATCTTATATATTTCTTTCAATGTCATTATTTGTTTCTTATATTTCCCTCTTACTTCTTACAGTATTTATCAGTGCTTAGTTATATTCTATTCAATGGAGTAACATGAGAAACCATATAATTCTTTAATAACACCTATGAGTATAATTATTATACTTACGTGGTAGACTGCCACCACCCAGGCTTTTATTAGAATATATCTAGTATCATTAAAGTGTTAGGTAGCGTGGTAGCAGAGCTTAGGCACGTGGATTACAGTGTTTATTTTCTGAGAACCAGTTGTTAGAAGGAAAGGAGCAGTGATATTCACAATATACTAAATCAATATTTATTTAGATCAAAGTTGAATAACATGACAATTTGAACCTTTATCCACAACAACATAAAAAGGTTAAATCACTGATTACTTTACTGCAACACTCAGACTAGAATGAACCACTAGGCCTTACTTTATAAGTAACAAAATAGATCTTCAATTATTTGTTACAACATTAAACCACTGTTATATTATTTCTTTGACAATAAAGTTGGTCACACTTGCTAATAGCACAGTGATATCGATACATTACTTATAATATCATGTTGTCACTGAATTAATAACTTCGTCTGTCTGTAATACTATTTGGAACAACCTGCTCTCACAGGAACATGTACCAGCATCTCAGTTGTGAGTAAACATTGAGGGTTTACTCACAATATGAAAACAACTCTAATATTGGTAATAGCAATATTTATGGTTTCAACACTCAACTGGGACAATTAAATTTCTGCTGATTATCCCCAATCATGTACAAGAACATTACTTTGCACATGCAATCGAGATTAGTACATCAGGCAAGACTAGGTTACACCAGGCTGACACCGCTGGTGTTTACTACAAAAAACAGCTGAAGCTCGTTCGCTGGTAGCGTCGGGTACTCAAAGATAGAGTGTAGGAGGGCTGAAAAGGAGTTCCAAAGGCTGGTTGCACGCGAGGTCAAGTCAAACCCAAAGGCGTTTTACCGCTATGCAAAGTCGAAATTGAAAACGCGAGTAGGAGTATCAGACCTGAGGCTTGAAGATGGTAGTTACGCAGATTCTGACCAGGATAAAGCTGAGGCATTGAACAGCTTCTTTTCCTCAGTGTTCACAAGAGAGGATGCAACTAACCTTCCTGCGTTTGAGGACAGACGGTTCGACACAGCACTGACCCACATTGTGTTCACAGAAGAGGGTATTAGAAATAAACTGTCCAGGCTAAAGGTCCATAAGAGTCCTGGACCTGACATGGTGCATCCTAGAGTGCTAAGGGAGCTGTGCAACGAGCTTGCAGAGCCCCTGAAGATTCTGTTTTGTAAATGCCTGGATGAACAAATGGTCCCCAGTGAATGGAAAGTGGCTTATGTGAGTCCTATCTTCAAGAAGGGCGATAGTCACTCCACGAACAACTATAGACCGGTGAGCCTGACCAGCATAATATGTAAAGTACTTGAGAGTATTATCAGAGATGCAGCGATGGAACATTTACTACGAAACAACCTTGTAAAAGATTGCCAACACGGTTTTATGCCGGGGCGCTCTTGCTTGACACAATTGCTCAAGGTATTGGATATTTGGACCCATATTCTAGAACGGGGTGGTAATATCGACAATATTTACCTAGATTTTGCCAAGGCTTTCGACAGTGTACCCCACGAAAGGCTGAAAATCAAACTGGAAGGGTACGGAATTCGGGGAAATGTCCTAGCATGGATAGAAGACTTTCTACATGACCGCAAGCAATGTGTGGTGATTAATGGCACGAAATCGTCATCTGTACCTGTAACAAGTGGGGTACCGCAGGGTAGTGTATTGGGCCCGCTGTTGTTTGTTTGTTTCATAAATGATATGCCTGACGTTGTACACTCCTCCATACAAATGTTTGCCGATGACGCCAAGTTATTTCGGGAAATTAAGAACCAAGCGGACTGTGAAGAGCTGCAGAAGGACCTCTGTGGGCTCCAGGAATGGTCGAAGGAATGGCTGCTGAGATTCAATGTCACGAAGTGTAAGAGGATGCACCTGGGGCGTACCAACGGTAAGGAGGCGTACCATATGTCCCAACGGGATGAAGAAAATGTACTAGTTGAGACTGTGTGTGAGAAGGACCTAGGTGTGTATGTTGACAATGAGCTGAAGTTCTCGGGCCATTGTGAGAAGAAGGTAAATCAGGCAAATAAATTATTGGGTCTTATAAGAAGGTCGTTCAGATATCTAGACGGTCCGTCCCTCGTGACGATCTTCAGGAGTGAAGTGCTTCCCCATCTGGAGTACTGTCACCCCATCTGGTCCCCGAGATATGCTAGGGACTGTCAGTTGGTTGAAAATGTTCAAAGGAGGGCCACCAAACTGGTGCCTGCACTTCGGCACCTCAGCTACCCTGAGAGATTGGAGCGCCTAAACTTGCCTAGCTTATACTACAGACGGGCAAGGGGGGACCTAGTTGAGGTTTATAAGCATCTCAGGGGGCACTACTCAGTTGAGTGTCCTTACTTGGAGCTGGCGGACGCTCGCCCCACAAGGGGTCACAGCTCAAGATTGAAGAAGCCGCAAGTCCAGAAAACCGTGAGGGCAAACTTTTTCGGAGTGAGGGTTGTAAACTCTTGGAACAATCTACCAGAGAGTGTTGTGACGGCACCGAGTGTGAGCTCTTTCAAGAGAAGACTTGACCAACACTGGAGCGGGTTCAGGTACATTCAGGAGCCGGTGCATGCCCAGTATTTGCCAACAGTGCGTGACAGAGACGTGACCGATCGCCCGGGCGGCTAGCGAGCCGACCTTTTGGTGAAGAATATAAAG